TCCCACCCCCTCCAGCCACCCCCCACCACTCAGTTAGTCCCACCAGGGATTCACTACTGATGAGGCTTAGGATAACCCACTCATTTCTCCTCCAAACCTTCTTGCCTGGTCTCACATGTGAGCTTTCGGGGGACACCTCACATCCAGACCATCACCACCCCCATTCCCAGTCTTCCCAAGGCTCTCCAGCCTCGGCGTGTTACTCATGAGGACTCACGCAAAAGGCGAAGAGTCGGCTCAATCTGAACTGGGAAAGGAGTGAGGGTCGGAGGAGCTGGAGCTGGCTTAGAGGGAAGGCAGGTGGCGATGAGTAAGAGAGTGCCAGGGTCAGTGGGCTGGAGGGTCACTGTGTGACTCAGCAGCTGCACCCCGTGATGGGCACACACGTGGCACTGCTTCACTTCAGGCAAATGCGCAGAAAGCCCACGACTGGCTCTTTCCGCCAGCACTGTCTACACACCAGGTGCGACTCCAGGAACTTCAGAGAAACCAGGTGCGTTCTCACAGGTGTTCTCCCTGCTGCACTGAAGCAGCTGGTCTCGGCAAGGTGGAGGGGCCAGTGCAGGAAAGGCCCAGGCCCGGCAGGCCGTGCTCTGCTCGCTCTTTGGTAACTGACTGCGTATCTGGACGTGGGCTGGCTCCACAGACTGCTAACACCCTAGGTCCAGGGCAGTCCCAGACACACGGCTAGGTCCCTGTTACCTTGGGTGAAATGAGCTGAGTTTCCATGACTGACCGTGAACTAGGAGCTCCACCTCCAGAGACGACCGACTGAGCACTGCCACGACCCGAGAACTGGGAGAAACCAGTTCCACTTAACTCACAGACCTGCCTCACGACTGTCATTATGAAGGACATAAGTGTTTCAAAATTCATTTTATAAATTAGTAGTCTGTGATACCCTTTTATTGAAGAAGAATGCGGTAAAATCTGCTTTACTTGGTACTATGTTAACCAAAACTTCTGCAGAGCCGTATATGTAACAGATGATTCATGTTCATAATAATTCATGCAAGGAAGTCGGAGCTCAGGAAGTGACCTCTGCTTTGAAAAGAGATCGAATTATGATTTTAAATTCTGGTTTGGGTATTATATTCTAATTTCTGGAACACTGGATATCTGGATAGCCTGTATATAATCACTCATTCACACATTCAACAAAGATATTCTGAGGCTCTAATGTATGTCTGGGTCTCTGGAAATATGGTGCAAAAAAAAAAGACAAAGTCTCTTCCTGGCAAGATGGTGCACACCAGTAATCCCAGCAGTCTGGGAGGCTAAGGGAGGAGGATCTCAAGTTCAAAGCCAGCCTTGGCAACTTATCAAGGCACTAAGCAACTCAGTGAGACCCTGTCTCTAAATAAAGTATAAAAAAGGCTGGGGATGTGGCTCAGTGCACCTGAGTTCAATCCCTGGTACAAAAAGAAAAGACAGAGTCTCTGTCCTTAAGGAGCTTACATTTTAGTTCCAACCTCCAGGCACTACTTCACACAGGCCCCTACAAGGCAGTGTTAAATGTGGAGATAATAAAGGTCTAGGCTACAAGTGGTGGCCACAGAGGTGTACATTTCACTCTCATGATACCAGGACTCCAAGCTCCCAGCTCAGGGAAGAAGGGGCCCAATAAGTCATCAGGGCAAATGCTTCTGTTCGCTGGAAGAGACAGCAATCCCAGGGGGAAGACGTCAAGGGACGCACCTAAGGAACCTTCCACGTAGACTCCACGTACCTAGTGCCATGACACACTGTGCATGGTGCAATGATGGCTATTCGTAACGAGAACCCTGAGGAATTTAGATTTGGTGTGCATGCAATTTAGCAAAGTATGTATATATGATTTAGAAAGGTTTCAATTATAACATTTTAACAAGTTTTGGCAGTGAATTAAAAGGTTACAATTATCTAAAAATTGGCTTCAGGTATAATATCGACTCTTATCATGTCAGGTTTCAAAAAATGAATTTTGGGGGCTGGGTGTCGAGCTCAGTTGTAAAACGTTTGCTTAACACGTGTGAGATCCTGGGTTCCATCCCAAATGAGAGTGGGTGGGGAGAAGGAGAGAGGGAGAGGGGAAAAAAAACAGAGAATCTGGACATTTATGAAAGACAAAAGCAAGATTTTATCCTACCTAAAAATGCATGCAAAAATCTCTGGGAGGCAATAACAGCAAATATTCTATTCTTAGTCCCTTTGCCACCCCAAGTGGGTAAATAACGTGTTCCATGGAGAGCAGTGGCTCCCTGAGGACCAGCATCCGACACAGTGATCAGAGTCACTCTTTAAGGATGCGGCGATCAGGAGACCGTCAGCTTTGAGATACTCTCCGTTTGCTTCCATTCCTAATGTAAATGGATTTAACAGCTTCTGTTGGGTTAAGTATCATTCAACAGCTTCCCTGTAGGCTCTTTAAGTGTGGCTGGCTTTGATTTCCAACCAAAGACTATGACAACTGACAGATGGTGAGGGCACTAAGGGACTGAGGAACAGTCAGAAATCATCAGTTCTTCCCCCCACGCCGCACTCTCGTGAGGAGGCCAGGCAGAGCACGCGTCCCGCACGCGCCGAGGGCTCACGATCCTGTCCGGACCATTTGGTGAGCATGCCGTGGGGGCTCAGTGATGTTAGCTATCCTGTTCAGTCTCTGCCAACTGGAATTTCTGCCTGAAAATTGCCTTGAAATCGAGCTGTTTCTCCATCAAACCCTTCCTTGCATTTTTTTTTTGATTAATCAAAGAAGTGGAAAATGTCATGTCACTGATTAGAAAAATCTGACGTTCTTTAGGTAGGAGCAAAGCAGGACGGGAAATGGATCTACCAAAGGGTGGGAGGAGAAGCAGCCTTGCGTTTCACGGACTGTACCTACTTCCGAGAGCTTGTCCTTGCACAGTGGACAGTGTGGGGCATGGTCAAGGCAGCGCTCCAGGCATTTGAGGCAGAACGTGTGTCCACAGGGCGTGGTGACAGGCTCAAAGAGCAACCTGGAAAGAAACGCGGGGGTTTTCAGCAGAACCGTCCAAAAGAGACATTCCAACCGTCTGCTTTAGAAGAGAGCCCCATGCAGTTCCTTTACTGTTCTGGAGGTCATATACGCCCATTTCCATCTTCTGCATTGAGTTTTTAGAAAAACGAATCAATCGTGAGTGAAGTAGATATCATTTCCTTAGTAAAACAGCCTATTGCATTTTGGTGTCAGGCTCTGGGAGGCTGAATTTATGAGAGAACGACATAGATGCTACACCATCCTACCTCATGCAAAGGGCACACTCAAAGTCAGTTACATCAATCGGGAGCTCTGGACCTTCTCCTGTCTTAGAGTTCACATTCTTTTCAGATGAGGCATCTGCATCTGAAAAATTTAAAAGCGGTTTCATTAAAACCCTAAACATCTGAACAACAGCATCCTCTGGGAGTATCTCCTCTGGACACCATGTATGACATCAATGTAACCAACCATGCCGGGCAGGAATGCTGCTGTCTAGTTAGTAGACAGCAATCATTTATCTGCACTGGAAGCATGAAAGAATGTTAAAATTATACCTAAGTTTTCTGGCTATTTTGGACTACAAAGTCCTTGCCATCTAAAATGTACTACGCCTCAGAGCAGATAATCATTTCATTGTTAATTTTACCAGTGTAGAATTGATCAAACACCAATGTCCTACCGTTTTGGATTATACAACATGATGAGAACACAGCCTACCCACCTTTCTTAGGAATCTTTCCAGGAGCACTAAGTTCACGAACATCCTCCGTATCATCCGGATGCTGTCTCTTTAAGCCGGTGCTGGGTTTCTCTGGCAGTAAGCTTTCTAATGTCTTCTTGTCCTCTTCAAAGTGTAGACCCAGTATAAAATACAAGACCGAAGAATTGGCATTTCGAAAGACGTCAGTTTTCTCAGATGCATTCTGGTTAAATAGGAAAAAAAGAATCCTCAAAATTCACGATATCACAGCATAGAAGGCATAAATCATGCAGGAATCTGCCTTAGAACCCTTTGGAAAACGAGGGTTGGGACTATCCCTTCATAATCAGTTTCATTTATCAACTAATAAGAGGATCTTTGCACTTTTATGGTAAAATACAGGATAGTTTCTTTGAGGCACAATGAATGAACACCACTCTCCGTATACATGTGCATAACATATACACATAAGATAAATCAATCATAGATCACATGCTCAAATCATCCCGCTGCTTTCTTTGCTCCAAGCCAAAATAACCCCAGGCTCAGGTCTCCTGGTGTTTTGGTTGTTTGAAGCTTTTGCAGAGTTTCTTCCGTTCAATCTTCAATCGCTTTCATTATTTTTGTTGACATTTAAAAGTGTCAACTCTTGGGTTGAAGAGCTACGCTGCTTTCAGGAAACGTTTTTTTTTTTTTTTTTTGATACCAGGGGTGCTTAACCTTACTCAGCCACATCCCCAGCCCTTTTAACATTTTATTTAGAGATAGGGCCTCACTAAATTGCTGAGGCTGGCTTTGAACTTGCCATCCTCCTGCCTCAGCCTCCCATGAAACACTTCTAACCAGTGTGACACCGCAACCTCCAAACACCCTGTGCAGTGTCTCATCGGGGGAATCTGATGGACATGGGCTTCCTACCTCAGGACTCCCTGAGTTACCACCTTCTGCGGACTGTGGTGGCAGCGGCTTGTTTTTCCGGCCACGACACGGAGCCTTTGCTCTGCTTTGGATGCAAGCCTTGGTGTGCTGACGTACGTTTTCTGAAGGTGGAAAAAACACCTCACACACTGCCTATAAAATGGCCAAGGAGAGAGAGAAGTGCTGTAAAATGCTTCTAGAAATATATGTGACACGTTTTTAAGATTCAAAGGAACAGTGCAGCCAAACAGGCCTAGAATGTTGAAAAGAAATCATTACCGTCAGCCTTTTAAAATGCAAACGTTTTCGAAATCACCATGTTTTGAGCATTTCAGCTTCTAATCCCTTTCCATTCTAGCCTTACAAATGATACCCCTCCCAAAGTTCTTCATGTTACAAGGCGAGTGCACCAGAACCCATGACCTCTGTTATGGCCCAGATCTGAAATGTCCCTCAAACACTCCTGTGTCGAAAGCACAGTCCCCAATGCAGCAGGGTGCAGGTGGGGCTTTTAGACAAATAATTAGCAGAGTAATTTCCAATGGATTAACCCACTGGTAGCTGAATGGACTCCTGGGTGTTAACTGTAGGCAGATGAGGTGTGGCTACAGGAAGTCGGTCACTGGGGGCATGGCCTTGGGGATTATAGCTGACCCTGGCGCTTTTCTGTCTCTCTCTCTCTCTCTCTCTCTCTGTTTCCTGGATGCCTGAGCTGAGCAACTTTCTTCCATGATGTGCTGCCCATTCCTCGGCCCAGAGCAATGGAGTCCGTGGAACATGGACTGAGACCTCTGAAACCATAAACCAAAATAGGCTTCTGCTCCTCTAAGTTGTTTTTGTCAGATATTCAGGTCCCAGTGACAAAAAGCTAACAAAATCTCTTAGCAGAGAGCAGCTGCATCCTCAGCCAGGCTGTCGGTTCCTACCTGGCCCTGAGTGCCTTCAGCAGACCTGCCAGGGGTGTGAGTATATTTCACGGGCATCCATGGGCTAATGCTCTTTTGCCATCCCCCACCATGGTGTGCCCAGGAGGAAAACCCCATGTCTGAAAAAGCAATGGGCAGACCAGGGTCTAAAGACCGAGTTCTGGCTCTGGGAGCTCTGTGAACGTGCTTCATCTCACTGCGCTCAGGCTGCCATCTCTGCCAGGCTTGTGTGAGGATCAGCAGGGAGAAGACAAGCTTCAAGCTTCTGATGACATCTGTAGGTGGGAGACAGCTGGCAGGGGTAGCTGAAATAGCCAACTCAAGACTCAACATCATTCTGACAAGTGAGAAACGACGGTCAGAACCCAGCAAGTGAAAACTGAACCGGATGAACAAACACCACGCGACGGCACTTGGGAAAACGGATAAAAACGTTACTAGAAAGTTCTCATAAAAAGAAAACCACAGACCTAGGTCCTTGTGGCTACCTACACTTCTAATAGGAGCCAATGGGGATGCTGTCAGGCTAAAAACAAGTGCGCCTCACCCCTGTCCCTGTCCTGTGTGCATGCTCAACTCTGTCTTGATAGGACTTCTGCGCAAGTTGTGGTACTTGAAATTGGAAATTCTAGGAAACAGCACTTTGCCTCCCCTGCTCCAAACGGTCACCTAGCCTCGTCTCCCGTGGGCCGTCGTTTCAACACTACCCAAGCACACTGTACACCGTCTCAATAAATGGAACATCTAATGAGAAGCTGCCAGATGCACGAGCCTCATCATTATTCCTATGTTTCTAATCACATTGTCCAGAACATTTGGAATTACACTTCCGGTTTATTTCAAATGCCAGGGTTACCCAGCATGGACCCAAGGCTATAGAGAGGACTTCCAAGAGAAACTCACTTATCAGAACTCATACCTTCTGTGCTTCTTTCTTCATGGTGCTACAATCAGGATTTAAAGCAAGGCAGTAGAGATATTCCTTCAACACTTCCTCACTTCTTCCCAGTGCACAAAGAGCCTGAGCTTTTATGTGGTGCCCCTGCATGGACCAAGAGACAGAGCAGACATACACAACACAACCAGCATGAGTGTACACATTTGAATGCAGACAGCTCTGCAAAAAATTGCTAGAATGATTTGTTTCGATCTCATAAACCCACCTTGGAAATCTGGCAAACTGCGATGTCTCATAAATACAATTTGCAATCAGAACACAAGAATCACCATATTTGGAATTTGCTGCTTACAGCAGTTCTAATGGACCTGCTACAAGAGAACTGGTCTCTGTTAGTTTTTTTTATTAATTTTATTTTTCATTAATGTAATACTGCTACTGAGCTGGTGAGAGCTTCGTTGCTGGAAGATACCTGGTCTACACGGCTGACACCTACTGAGGAGGATTCTGGGGCTAGAAGCCCCAAGAGCAGGATGTCAGGGCCCTTATTCAGGGACTTCAGGCAGCCAGGCTTTCTCCCGCCGTGGTCTGTCCAGAGTCTCTGGGTGAGAAGGCCCTGTGATGTGTGTGCCGCTACTGCCCTGCAGGACAGGGTGAGCAGACACCGAGGCCGACCTCCGTTCTCACTCCCATCCCCAATGCCTAGCTCTTCTCCACAGCTCCTCCCATGCCGTGAGCTTAGCTTCCATCTGAACTGGGATGTCCTCGGCTCTTTCGGACATTCATCCATGTTTGAAAAAGAAATCTGTTGAATTCCCTTCTTCCATAAATATCCCCCATTCTCCCTGTTTATGAGCTTACTCTTGTTTACACTTCCTGTCCCACTTTCACTGAGGGACGATGTATAGACAGTAAACCCCACCAACCTTAAATGCTCAATGTGACGAGTCTGGATAAGCGTGTGTGGTTGTGTAACCATTAGCACTCACATTTCCATCACCCCCAGCATTCTCTCCTGCCATCTGCAGTCGGCCCCCGCCCCTGAGCAGACCTGCTAGCCACTGATCTGTCACTCTGGTTTTGAGTTTTTGAGTATTTCACATGAATGGAACCACCATGCTGTCTTTTCTGTGCCTTTCGTGACTTGCTGTGGCCCTTCTAAGACCAACTGTGTTGCTATGTAGATCCACCTATCATTTTTTCTGTCCAGCTAAGCAGTATTCCACTGTATGGATGTACCATGAATTATTTATTTGCATGTTGATGATATTTGGTTTATTTTTGTAGTCTTTGGCTAATATGAATTAAGCTGCTATGAACATTTGCACGTCTTTGTGTTCGTTTTTTTTTTTTTTTACTCTCTTGGGAAAATATTTGTAAGATTGATAGGTCTCACAGGAAGAGTATGCTTAACTTAAAAAAAAAAAAAAATCTGCCCAGTGGCTCAGGAGGCTGAGGCAAAAGGATTGCAAGTTCAAAGCCAGTCTCAGCAACTTAGTGAGACCCTAAGCGACTGAGCAAGACCTTGTCTCAAAATCAAAAATATAAAAAAGGGCTGGGGATGTGGCTCAGTTGTGAAGCACCCCTGGGTTAAATTCTTGGTATCAAAAACAAACAAATCTGGGGCTGGGAATGTGGCTCAGCCGTACAGCGCTCACCTCGCATGGTCAGGACCCGGGTTCGATCCCCAGCACCACATAAAAATAAAGGCATTGTGTTGTGTCCATCTACACCTAAAAAATAAATGTTAAAAAAAAAATCTCTACTAAACCTTTCGAAACCAACTGGATAATTTTGTATTCCCACTAGTGATGTGTAAGAATTCTGGTTGATGGACTTCCCTGGCCACGTTTACTGTGGTCAGTCTTATTAACTTAAGCCTGTCTAGTGGGTCTACAATAATGTGTCACTGAAGTTCTAATTTACATTTCTCTGATGACTAATAATGCAGGGCATTTTTTCATGTATTTATTTCATATTCATATGACTTTTTTGGTAAAGTATCTGCTTAAATACCTTGCCCATTATTTAAAATTGGGTTGTCTGAATTATTACTAAATTGGTAAATTTTTTTGTATTTACTAAGACCAACTCCTTTATCAAATAAATGCCTTGCATATATTTCTGTCTATTCTTGTTTGCCTTTTCACTTTTCTAATAGTATCTTTTGAAAGGGCACGAGTTTCAAAACTTGCTTATCAATTTACCATTGGGGCTTTTTTCTTTTTTTTCTTTTTTTAATGATGTGTGTTTTCTGGATCCTTTTTATTGATTTCTGTCCTTACATTTATTTCCTTCCTCTTCTCCTGCTTTCTTAACGTGGAAGCTTAGATCACTGCTTTGAGGACTTTCTTCTTTAAGAAGCACTAATATTATGAACTTCCCCCTAAGAATGGCTTTAGCTGCATTTCAGAAATTCAAAGTTATCATCATTTGTGTTTAACTGTTTACTCCTTTCCCTTTTATTTCTGTTTGGTCCCACAGATTCAGAAGTAAGTTGAAGATGTTTAAGGATCTCCTAGATGTTTTTATTTTTGAAATAAAATAAAACAATAAAATTGCTCTTTAATTCTGTTTTCAGAGAGCATTCTCTTTAAGATTTCAATGCTTTGAAATTTATTAATACTTTTTTTTTTTTACTAGCACTGGGATTCCATAAGCATTAAGAGGCACATGCAGACTGCAACTGAGTGTAATGTTCTACAAACGTCAATTAGGTTAAGAGGGTAGATAACGTCATTCAGATTTTATCTACATTAACTAAAGTTTTGATTTAGTGAGGATATCAATACTGGCCAAAGTATATTTAATTCACTTAACTCTGATTGTGTACTTATCTAAAATTTAAAATTTTCTGATGCCATGACATTTCATGAGTGTGTGTGTGTGTGTGTGTGTGTATCTATCTATCTATCTATCTATAAAATTGTTGTATTGATCCTCTTATTGTAAAGTTTTTCTTTACATCTCTAGTAGTACCCTTTGTTACTAATACAGTTATCTCATCTTTGTACTTTTTGTGTTTGCATGATATATTTTTGGAGCCTTTTAAGTCTATTTGTGTCTTTGCATTTAAGATGAATTTCTGGTAAAAGGCAGTCTGACATTTTTTTTTTCTTTCTACTTTGAATTTGCTTTTCCAGTGTCAAATGGTTTCCATGGTTTCAAATGAGATGTCAACCATCAGTCTGATTATTTCTCTTATGCCATTATTCTCATCTCATGTCAGTTTTCTCTTGATGCTTCCAAGACTTTCTTTTAATATTTGCCTTACAGCACAGCAGCTTGATTATCACTTGAGTTTATCTTGCTTGGAGTTCATGCTTGTCTTGCTGGGTCGGAAATTAACAATTCTCACTAAATCTGGAAAGTTTTCAGCCATTATTTCTTTGAACTTTTCCCCTGCCATTGCCTCTCTTTTCCCCTGGGGGTTCTAGGTGCACATGAACTACACACTTGACATTGACCCACACAGGCTTCTGAGATTCTTTTCATTCTTCTTTACTCTTTTCTTCCCCTTTTTGGTTCTTTGGACTGGGAAATTTCCATGTATTTACCCTCATTTTCATTGATACTGTTGCCATGTATGATGTGCTTTTGAGCCTGTCCAGCAATTTTGAATTTCAGAATCCATAATTTTCATCTTTAGAATTTCCTTTTTTTTTAATGGTTCAATTTCCCCACTGAAATTGCTGTTTTATAAAAACATATTTTCCTTCTACTCTTTCGATATAATTTCATTTGACTCTTTGATCTCATTTATACACAATAAACATCCCTAACAAAAAAATTTTAAATTGAAAATGCCCCAATAAAATGCTGACAAAGTTTTTCAGCACTGATATGATGCCACAGGTAGAAAATTCCACACCATGCAACTTTGCTTTGTGTATAGAGTCATTTAAAATCTTATATAAAATTACCTTCATGCTGTATCCATAAGGAATATGTAAAAAAAACTAATTTTGAGTTTACACTTGGGTCCCATCCTCAAGACACCTCGTTATGTATACGATAATATTCTAAAATTGGAAAATATCCAAAATGTGAAACGATTCTGGTCCCATGCATTTTGGATAAGGGATACTCATTCTGTAAAAGCTGTTTCTAGGTAAATACAATATCTGGGCCCACTTAATTTTTATTGGCTTTTATCTTAAGTCAACACTTTCCTGTTTCTTTTTGTGTCAAACATTTTTTAGTTGAAACTGGACATTGTACCTATGTTGTATCAACAACTTCTGCACTTTGTCATGTTCTTCTGAGTGTTACTGGGTCGTCACAAAGGGCGATGAACTTTTCTGGATTCCCCCACAAGCTCTATGTTCCCATGGTGTGGCTTCTCTCTCTGCTCTATTCTGACTTTCCCCTGCTCCTTTTTTAGCCTTGCAGTTCCTCCCCTATATCTAAGAAATTTGGCAATCAACCAGGATTTGGCCAGAGTTGGAACTTAGCCATTCTGAGATATTTTTTCCCCCTTCTTGTAGGAGTTTCCCTCATTTCTAGCTATTCTGGCAGATTTGAGTTCTTTACTGACATTTCAGTCTTTGTCTTGCCTGAGCTGTGTGCTACTCCTCATTTAAGATACTCACTGAACACGGGAAGGGGGACCCTGTCACTCTGGCTTTTTTGCTGTGCCCTCTGCACCTCTCACATGCGTGCGCAGTTTAGCTGTGAGTCAGATTTATATTTTGAATCTATCTCACTTGCACAGTTGTTTTGCTAAGAAAATTTCTCCCTTTCCACTTCCTTTCCCTCTGTTCCACCAGGCATTTCCAGAGGAAGTACTGACCTTGAAGTCCCCAGAACTCTGATAGTTTCAGGTGGTAATGTTCAGAGCTTGACCACTATTGTCTTCTAGCTGCAGCTACCGGCAAAAAGCCATGAAATCACAACTCTCATCCCTTCCATACTCAAAAGTCTTGGAGACTCAATTCTCCTGCTGTTTGGATACTTTACAATATTCTTTTTTTTTTCCAGTCCAGTTTTTATATATTTTCTCTCCTCTGTGCTCACATGACCTCTTCATTTTTTTGTGGTTCCTAGATGTAGGTAAATCATCCTTTCCCTCTACTGTCATTTTACGTGGGTCCGTTGGGAGGGAAAACCATAATGGATGCACATCCATGGCCGCCTCTTCATCCTTATCCCTGCACCAAAATGTCCACTAGTGGCAATATCGGCCAGCAAGAGTCTGTTTTCAGGTTCCTCTCCACCTGGCTTCTTTCTCCACTGTCTGAATACCATGAATGTGTGACGGTGACCCATCCTACCTCCAGCATCAACCGTGCCTAACACCCCGTCACTGTCCACTCATTACATCCCAAGTCTGAGTTCTCTGGGAGAAGAGCCATTTCAAAAGCCACGACAAGGGGCCGGGGTTGTGGCTCAAGTAGTAGCGTGCTCACCTCGCATGCATGAGGCACTGGGTTCGATCCTCAGCACCACATAAAAATAAAGATATTTAAAAAAAGAAGCTATGATGAATATTTCGGACAACAGGTCGTGGGCTTCATCCCTGGGCTCCCTGGGATCTCACAGATGCCCCAGAGGCCAGTTACGATTCATTTATGGAACTCTTTAGCCCCTGAAAGTTTACCGATTATTATATTTTTCCTTTCATAAGAATGGATTCAGCTTTTGTAGAGTCTGAATCTTACATAATTTGTAAGGTTTTTTTGTTTTTTTTTTTTTAGTTATATATGGACACAATATCTTTATTTATTTTTATGTGGCGCTGAGGATCAAAGCCGGTGCCTCACATTTTCGAGGCAAGTGCTCTGCCACTGAGCCACAACCCCAGCCCCTTTAAGGTTTTTTTAAGGAAAGGTATAAAATTATGAATCCGATGTTGCTGAAGCCCCTCTGAGACCATATACAAGTAAATGGCCTGACTCAAGTGTCAGAAGTTTCTAAATCTGTTCATTCTACTTATCTAAGGTTCTTTGAGAATAATCCTCTTACACACGCAAGGAACTTCACAGGGAAATGTTCACACACACACACACACACACACACACACACATCACCTCAATCAACATGTACATTCTTGATACCATGTATCAATAAATGCTTATAAAGTGAATGAATGAGTTTTTCAATAATTTTAGGTAAGGTTTAATTTAAGGTCTTATAGCCTTTTTGCCTGGTAAAATCAAACCGATCATGTGCCTATTATCTATTTCTGCAAGTGGGCAAATGTTTTCCGGCTCAGGCTTATCCAGTTTGCTCCAAAAAGCCTTGAATGGTTACCCATGAATATTAGCCACGATTGGCTGTGTGGAAGGGTTTTACTTGAATGAACATCCTCCCGTAACATTTCCCCCAGCTGGAAGCCAGAAGGTGGTTCTAAAAGTTTTCCATCTCATCTTCATCATGCTTGGTCAACTTATTCTTCCCCTCAATCCACTTCCTTCCTGGTGGCGTCTCGATTACCACCACTTCAACTAACCTTCCACATCACTCCTGCAATCCTTAGTTGTAACAACATACTTTGGAACAATATTCTATCATTTGTTGTTTTAGAATGATGTGTTAGGATACATTTTTGCTGAAGCTGTTATCCACCATGCATTGATGAAGAACTGAGGTCTGTAGATTTGCAATAAATCCTGAAGATCTGGCCACAATCTCAAACATTAAATATTCATCGGCTGCCTCCCTTAAAGTTTCACTTAGCCATGAAACTTTGCAGTAACTAACTCTCTCTCTTGCAGGAGACACTCTGCCAAGTTTTTAGCTCAAAGAACAATACTGTGGGGGGAAACTACCTTCCGAGGTCAATGCAGGTCTATTGTCAGGAATACTCAGAATTCATAATTAAGATTCGGTCATTACTTACAGAAATTGCCTCAGAAGAATAGTAGTGGAACGAGACAGACTAGGGAGATGTCAGTCAAAGAATACAAGATTTCAGCTAGGAGATTGTGTCAAAAGAGATTTAGTATAACACAGTGACTATAATTATTAACATGTTTCACCCTTGAAAATTCCTGAGAAAACAGGTTTTAGGTATTCTCACTACAAAAAAATAATGTCAGGTAATGCATGCATTGATTTTGCCTGAGCTAGCCATTTTACAATGTATTTTTCAGAAGAACATGTTATGCCCTGAGTATAGACAATTTTCATCTGTTAAAATAAATTTTGAAATAGTAGGTCAAGTGAAGGAATAAGAGAAAAGGCATCAGAAATAAGAGTAGAAAATGTTCTTAGGAAAGCAAGCAAGCAACAAAATAGGTTTCTAGGCTTAATCCAATGAACATTTGCTCTCACCCTTGGGCTCATCCCAAAGCCCAACTTTACTCTCAATTTAATCTAAAACATTTTGTTTTAAAGGATTTTGGCAAACAGGAAAGGAAGAAGAGAGGAGAGGTAGGTAAGATGGATGGATGGATAGACACAACTTGTCTCCTAACTGGGGCTAATATCTCTTTCATGTTTCTAAAGCAAAGATGATTTAAAAAGTAATAGATCAGAAGAATCAATAGTTTTAATTATCAGTTCACAAACAGAGTATGTTATAGGTGTTAATTTCATCACAAGTTCTTTTAAACTTTAAATTTTCTCATAGGGGTTCAAATTTCAAAGATCCACAAAAAAAAGACCAGAAAAATTAGTCCAGAAAGCACACAAAATGTTATGTCTTTCACTAACACCACTGATACACTCATACGTATATTAGGGACTGTAATTTTAAATATTTTTATTATTTGGCTTCTTAAATTTAAGTACAGTTTAAGCTATCACTATTCGATTAGCAAAGTTCATTTTGTGTCATCAAAGAAATCTCATACCTTTCCATCAAAAAACACAAAGACTAAAATTAGTCCAAAAAACACACAAAACGTTAGTTCTTTCACTAACACTACTGATATGCTCAGACATATATGAGGGACTGCAATTTTAAATAGTTCTTCTTCATTCACAATTCATCATCTCCAAAGCCAACCAAGACAAATCACCTTAGTCAAGAGAGGTTCCTTCTGACAAACTATCCCAGAATCCTGCAGGGCCTGCTCATAGTTCCTCATGGTTAAATGCAAATCCGCTCGCAGCAGCAATAATGAGGTATCATCAGGAGCTGGAAGACAGGAGGAATACAAATGAGTGAGAAAGCCTGAAAACAAATAATCAAAAGTGTTAAATTACAAAAGCAGCATAAAGACAAAATAAGAATAATTCCTCTCTCGGTCCTATTTAGAATTTAATGGTTTGATGAGTATTAATTTACAGAACTTCTCGCAGGAAAACAGTAACAAGACCTCAAAACACCGCCCCCCTCCCCCCCAAAAAAACCAACCCAGACTAACGGTGAGTATTCCTGCACACACACTGCATCATCTCCAGTAAGAGACTCAAAGTCCAGTGAATCATATATATATATATATATATTTTGGTATAGGGGATTGAACTCAGGGACACTCAACCACTGAGCCACATCCCCAGCCCTATTCTGTATTTTATTTAGAGACAAGGTCTCACTGAGTTGCTCAGGCTGCTTTGAACTCATGATCCTCCTGCCTCAGCCTCCTGAGCCGCTGGGATGAAGCTGCAGCTTGAGCATCCCTATCCCACATCCAATATGCTTTGAAATCTCAAAACATTCTGAGCGCTGACATGATACTCAAGAATTTTGTATTTTGCAGTATTTCAGGTTTCAGATTTCTGGATTAGGGATGCTCAAGCAGTAAAGTCCATGAAAATATTCCCAAATCCAAATCTGAAAGAAACCCTATGGACCCCAGCATTTTGGATGAGAGCTACTCAACCTATAATAATTTGGTGTTTTATTTTTTTAACTATATGTTTTTTAGTTGTAGTTGGACACAATACCCTTTACTTTATTTATTTATTTATATGTGATCCTGAGGATCGAACCCAGGGCCCTCCCTGCACATGCTAGGTGAGCACTCTACCGCTGAGCCACAATCCCAGCCCATAATTAAGTATTTTAGATGGAGATTTAAGATAACTTTCCTTGAAGTAGACAAGAAAATTCCTGCTTACGGAACAGAAAGGTCAGACCTAATTTGTTTTCTTACGTAACCTGTAGGGACACAAATTTACCCATATAACTGTGCCTGCGTCCAGCCCTCCTAAATTTGTTCTCTTAAGAGGAGAAAGGAGGGGCTGGGGATATAGCTCAGTGGGCAGAGTGCTTGTCTTGCGTGCACAAGGCCCTGGGTTCCAATCCCAGCACTACAAAGAAAGGAGAAAGGAGAACAAAAGCTTTCCTTCTCTGGATTCTGCATATAGAAGATACCTGGGTAATCACTCACATGCTACCCCAGACACATGCCCAGCTGTACAGAAGCCCAGAGTGAGCGGCGACACAGGAAGCAAGAGTGACTCCCTGAAGTGACCTGGAGTGAGAGCCAGTACTGACAGAGCCCAAGCCTGAAAGCAGAATGGTCACAGCCGCCTTCCATGCCGCTGGCCTTGGCTCGCTCCACGAGTCCACTCAGGATCACTGCGACATGGCCACACCTGTGCCTGTCAGTTGATCGATGGACATTCTAGTCACCTAAAATGTGTTCTCGGGGCTGGGGATGTGGCTCAAGCGGTAGCGCGCTCGCCTGGCATGCGTGCGGCCCGGGTTCCATCCTCAGCACCACATACCAACAAAGATGCTGTGTCTGCCAAAAACTAAAAAAAATAAATATTAAAAATTCTCTTTCTCTATCTCTTTAAAAAACATAAAATAAAATAAAATGTGTTCTCATCTCTCTACCTGACACACATCCTCAGTGTGCTCCAAATCCTTGACCTTGACCTTTTATCACACTTCCCACTTGGATCTCCCCAACTGCTAGTATGCCTTCTTCCAGCTTATGTAGGTAAGTGAGCACATGTGTGTAAAAATTCGTGTGCAAGAAGATGGCCCACCAAGACACAGTGAGCAACAAATATTAATAAATGTGTTATCGCCACATGTGTGCAATACGGAGAAGGTGTGGCAAGAAAAAAAGGGGGAGATGGGGAAGGGACCGGCAAGAGTCAGATAATAAAATGTAAATTATTTTTTCAAAAAACACATTTCTTGGTATAGCTAACTGGCTGGAGCAGGAGTCAGCAACTTTTTTTTTTTTTTCTGTAAAAGGCCAGATGATAAACATTTGAGGCTGTAGGTCAAGAGAAAACTGGAGGATATTATGCAGGTACTTGTTTAACAAAAGAGAAAACAAATTTTTTCAGAGTTAATTGATGAAATTCAGAATCTAACAATATTTTTTGGTAACGTAGGTCTCCTAATGAGGAGAGCAGTATCCCTTGTGGAGGAATAACATATTACTCAATTAAGGTTCAGAGTTTGTATTCCCCATCATCAAAAGCAAGTGAGAATGTTCACCTGCTAATTATAATTCATGATGAGATTTTGTGTGTTTCGACTTTGAGACTTTGAAAATGCACAAAGGAACCATGAAATACACAAACATATGATTTTATTTTATTTTATTTTTATTTTTTAAAGAGAGAGTGAGAGAGGAGAGAGAGAGAGAGAATTTTAACATTTATTCATTTTTTCTTAGTTCTCCGCGGATACAACATCATCTTTGTTAGTATGTGGTGCTGAGGATCGAACCCGGGCCGCACGCATGCCAGGCGAGCGCGCTACCGCTTGAGCCACATCCCCAGCCCCCAAACATATGATTTTAAATTGAACATTTCTGTTGTCTGGAAGGCATTATAAAATTCTGTTAAGATTCTTCTCAGGATTTTTGTCACAGTAGCATGTCATTACTCACTAAAGATAATAACATCATTTCCAACCAAAAGATTAGCTAAAAGTTCCCCAACCGTAGTTAAAGGAATTTGATATGTAATTCTTCTTTGGAGATTTTTGGAAATCTTAAAAAAAAATGCTACTGTAACTGTAGTTTGATCTTGGGAAACGTGCTGGGGATCTGTGCAGACAGTTAAAGTCTCTTACTAGCTCTAACATCTGTCAACGGATTCTCCTGAATTCTAACTAGGTGGGTCATATGTAAATTATAAACTTTGATTATTCTGTTTTAATATGTACAATCCTTATTTTATTTTACTCTCATGTTGCAATAATAGTGATAATGAACCCCACCCCACCCCCCCTTCTTTCTCTGTCTCTCTCTGCAATGCTGGGGATCAAACCCAGGGCCTTGTGCATTTTTCTCACTGATTTTAAAAATAACATGTCTAATTTGTGTGTGTGTGTGTGTGTGTGCAGGGGAGGTACTAAGGATTGAACTCAGAAATGTTTTACTACTAAGCTGCACCCCCAGACCTTTTTTATTTTTTATGTTGAGACAGGGTCTTGCTAATTTGCTGAGGCTGGCCTCAAACTTGCAATCCTCATGCCTCAGACTCCCTAGTAGCTGGGATTACAGGCATGTACCACCGTGCTCTTCTTTTTTGATGTTTACCATAAGCTTCTGATAGAGAATACTAGTCAAGCTAGGTAAGTAGCTAAGACCACAGCTTTTAGCCTGAGCTATTCCTAGTTTTCTAGAAGGGTTTTCTAACAAGAGGGTATTGAATTCTACAGCTAAGATGCTCTTTCAGCATCTGATACATGTTTAGAGCATTATTTCCTTTGATCCGTTGTAGTGAATTACAATGAAAGGTGTGTCTAATATTGAATTATCCTTATATTTCTAAAATACACTGCCAGACTTGAATACTAAGAAATTTGGTTTAGGATTTCAGCATCTATGCACATATGGACTGCTATGCTATAAATTTTTCCTGTCTAGTATCAAGATTATACCAACCTCCCCAAATGAGATGGAACTCTTCCTATATATTTCTAGGATCTTAAATAAAGTTGCCAATCAACCTTTGAAAGACTGTGAGAGCTTGCTGGGCCTCTGTGCCCTTTTAGCAGGAGAAAAATCCCTGGGTATGATTTCAGTGTGTTTTAGGTTATTGGTCCATGTCAGCTTTTTACTTCTTCCTGAATCAATTTTGATCATTTACATTTATGTCCTTCTATCATTTTAAGATCTGTTATAAACTTTTGTACCTGCAATTACTCTGCCTTCCCTTCCTGATGCTATCTGTGTTCCGCTTCCTTCGTCACCACATGTGCCACACATGGGTCTCTTACCGGTCTTTGGCGTGAGCCAGTTTCTGACTGGTTAACCGATTCCATTTTTTTTGTCTCATGATTTTCTTAATCATTCCTCTGTTTGTTTGAGCTTTGTGTTTGCTTAGTCTTAATGAAACATCCTGATTTAAAAACACCTTTCAATTAGGTAAGTCAGCTTTCTGTCACTGTGATAAAACAGGGTAAGTGGAAAGATTTTTTGCTCACAGCTTGAAAGGGTTTTGGTCATGGTCAGCCAGCTCCATAGCTTTGGGCCTCAGGCAAGGCCAAACATCATGGCGGAAGGTGTGGGGTAGAGTAAATCTGCTCACTTCATGGCAGCCAGGAGGCACAGACAAAGAAAAGGGGCTGGGGACAAGAGACATCTCTCTGGGGCGTATCCACCTACTTCCTACTTCCCCCAACTGGGCCTCATCTCCTATAGTTTCCAACATTTTCCAATAAAGCCATCAAATTATGGCTCTATCAATGGATTGATCCACTGTTGAGGTTGGAACTCTCAGGATCCAATCACAGTAAGCTCCACCTCTGAATGCTGTGGCCCTGGGGACCATGTCTTCAACACATGAGCCTTTGGAGGACATTTTAGGTCTCATGACAAGTTACATTATTTTATTTTCATCATTCTTTTTTAAGGAATGCAGTTAAGTCTTCTATCCTCACATTCAAAGGCTCGTTTTCCTGAAGTCCAACGGTCATCGTGCGCCCTTCCCACAGAGTCACCCAACAAATCCAGCTATTTTCTTTGTTGACTTTGGTGACTCATTCATGAAGCCGGCCCTGCATGATTTAGTCTCTTAGAACATGTAAAACAAGTGCATCTACGCTTTCTCCCATCCAAGTAAGAACAAGGCCTGACTCTGCTTAGCTTCCAAGACCCGGTGAGATCAGGCACATTCGGGTGGTAGAGCTGTAGACGAGCTACGTGTTTTCTAAGCCTTAAGCTTCAAACTGAGGGATTTTATTCAGGAGCCACTCAAAAATAAATAGAAGAGGGAAAGCAATTTAAAATTCTTCATGTGGAGAAAGTACACAGCAGAAAAAAAAATGGACATCTGCACTTGCCAAAGAATTGAGGCAAAATTTCAGATGAACCCATGAACCCCTGAACCCCTCCAGAGACGCTCTGTGAGAGAGTCTGCATCTGGAGTTCAGAGTTGACCCAAAGCTGTCCTCCTCCAGCTGCAACCAGTGCCACTGTGGTACCCGGAGCTGGGGTCCCTGCTACAAACCGTCAAATGTGTGTGCAGGTGGTGAGGAATGAACAGTAGGATGTCATTTAAGAAGAGTTTGATGAAATGACTCCTAAAGCAATCAAGATGGGTACAGCTCCCCGGGAACAGAAAGAATGGATGGCAACACTCCTCAGAAGCTACTGACTCCAGCTGATACGGGGCTTGCTAAGTCAAGCCCTAGCCCTTCCCTTAGCATTTCATGTAGTGCAGCGCTGGTGGAAATAAAACCCTTCAACTTAATTTCTTCAGATGAAGGCATACTGATTTTGCCTGGAAAAATATGTCCAGCTGGATCAAAAAATTCAGACTGACTTTTTTTTTTCTTTCACTATTTAAAAAACACTATTCCATTATCTCTGGTTTCAATAATCTTGGAGGAAAGTCAGCTATAAATCTTACAATGGCTTGAAGGAAATGTGCTGTCTTTTCTAACAGCTTTTAAGTGTCTCTTTGATTTTCAGTAACTTGGCTATAATAGATGTATTTGGTTTTTGTTTTGGGGTCTGTGTGTGTGTGTGTGTGTGTGTGTGTGTGTGTGTGTATGTGTGTGCGTGTATACAAAGTGCATACTTGTGTTTATCCTGCTGGACTGTCTGAGCTTCTTGACTCACTGACATAAAGTTTTTCATCAGTATTGGAAAATTCCCAGCCATTTTTTTCTTCAAGTATTTCTATTGGGCTCGCATGTGCGCGCTCTCTCTCTCTCTCTCTCTCTCATTCTCCGCCCCCCCCCCCTCTTCTGGGGTTCCAGTTTCATGGTTTTAAAACTTTTGTCTTTGTCCCATTATATTTCTGCTCTATTTTATTATTTTTCTGTTATGATTCAGTTTAGAATTTTCTATTGACTTGTTTCTGAGTTTTCTTATGCCAACTTCTGATGTGTGCAGTCGATCTTTTTAACTCCTTTAAGTACTTCCCACCCTCAGATGCTGTACTGTGCAGTTCTTGAATACCAATATGATCTTTTGTACAGCCAATTCGGTACTAAATTATCCTTTCATACCTTTACTTATCTGTTCTCTTTAACTTATGTATTTGTTATTCTGAATTCCATTTACGACTTATTGGCTCCCAAGTAGTCACACTGGATCCAAATAACCTCAGGTGGTGAAGCCAGAATTAGACAGGCAGTCAGCAGAGATAGGTAAATCGAGTCAGGTCGGATCAAGGAGGCCAATTTTGAGTGAGTCTGGGAAGCTGGAGACTGTCCCCTGAGGGATTGAGATGTCAATTCCTTCAGAGCCCTTCCTCCACCCTTATCAAGAACCTGCCCCTGCTCCTACCTGTTGCCAAGGTAACCTGTCCCAGGAGTAGCCCCTCCCTACAGGGAGCTATAAGGTAGTTAGTGTATCCTGAGCTGCTCCATCCTGTCCCTCCCCTCCAGCCCACCTGTTTCCCACCTTTGGGCCACCCCACCAAGCATTCCTGGGCCTCGTCCCATAGGCAGGAAAGAGAAAGATAAGGGGGGAAAGGCAGGAGAACACAGGAAGCCTAGGAATATAAAAAGGGCAGAACACCTCGCTTCTGGGGATACCATGATGCCAGCTATGGTCCCCTTCTCCCTCACAGGAGAAATCTATGTGACCCCTTTTTAAATAAACCCTGCTTTGTGTGCTGGCCTCGGCCTGCTTCTCTAATGCTCAAACTTCAACATGTGGGGAAGCAGGGCTCGGCATCCATAACCAGCGGTATCAGTGGGCCAGACACTCAGCCCTACGTTGTTCTGGGAAGGCGTGAAGAGCTACTTGGAGAACAAAATAAATGGTACATTTGGTCACGTCATGTCATGTGTCAAAGCCTAGGTCTATTCACAGGTACTCTGCTCCCAAATATCTGTGAACTTTTTTATGATATCGAAACCTCTGGGGCTGGAGCTGTGGCTCAGCGGCAGAGCGCTCGCCAAGCACATGTGAGGCCCTGGGTTCGATCCTCAGCACCACATAAAAATAAATGAAGATACTATGTCCAACTAAAAAAATAAATATTAAAAAAACCTCTATTTGAAGCTAATTTATCATTAATTGAAGTATTTTCTGTAAATTATTTTTTTTGTAGTGCTGAGGATGAAAAACATAGCTTCATGTATACTAAACAGGCACTCCACCACTGAGCCACACCCCTCCACTTTTCCACTCAATTTTTAAACTTCGAAAGCTTTTTTTTTTTTCTTTTTTAATCTTTGGAAAACTAATACTGAATATACTCAATAATTAAGCCGTCATAGGAATTGACTAAAATAGTGTAAAACTTTAAATTGTGGTTTAATACATACATAGAAAAGCTTAAAAACATGAGTATATAGTTTCATGAACACACCTGTGTATCCGTTCCCTAGGTCAAGAAACGGAACACCACCTCTTCCCACAGGCAGGTCCCTCTCATGATGGCTTTCACTCATTTTTTTTTAAAGGGCAGGTAACTGAGGATTGAACTCAGGAGCATGTGACCACTGAGCCACATCCCCAGCCCTATTTTGTATTTTATTTAGCGACAGGGTCTCACTGAGTTGCTTAGTACCTCACTTTTGCTGAGGCTGGCTTTGAACTCACGATCCTCCTGCCTCAGCCTGCCAAGACACTGAGATTACAGGCGTGTGCCATTGGGCCTGGCTTCAGTCAATCTTTCTTTTGATCCATCAGAGATAACCAATGACTTACTTCCAATACTCTCTAGTAATTTTGCCTGTTTGGACTTAAGGTAAATAGAGTCACACAGTAAAAACACTTTTGAGTCTAGTTTCTTTCACTTAACATTATGTTTGTGAGATTATCCACTCTGTAGTTTGTAACAGTAGTTGGTTTTCTTTCTGCACAGTATTCCATGAAGACATAATATATTTAACCCGTTCTGACCTCATTGGACATTTGGTTTATTTCCACATTAGGAGTATTTTTAACAATGATATGCACTGTTCTACATTCATGTATAGTCTTTTGGTGCATATATTCATGCACCCTTTTGAAATTGTTTGGTCAAAGGTCTTATTTAACATTTGTAGAGACTAAACAATTTTCCAGGGGTATAATCTGTAGTCTCACCAGCACCGCAGGAGAGTTCTCATTTTCTACCTGTTCTCCAACTTTTAAATCCAGATAAAGTGCTGGAAGTGAAAATTTAGGGACTGAATTGAAGAGTACAGTGAATAAAACATATATAATCTTTATTTTATATAGAAGACACATAAATAATATTTTGTATATACAGTTAAAATAAATTTCATTTGTTTTTATCACGGCAACCAGAAATTTTTAAATTATTTGTGTGGCTTATACTATAGTCTATTGATAATGCTGCTCTACACCATAAATGCATAAATAAGATAGCTGAAAACCTGAAAATATACAATCTGTTAAAGTGTGGACATACTGGTTACAGAAATTAAACAGAATATTTGTTATGTAAGACAAGTTAACCCATTTAGTTCCATGTTTTCAATTCTTCCAATATTTTAATGAAATTAACATAGATGTATTAAAATAGATTGAGAAATTATAATCTGGAGCTTATATATCTGACATGTATATATATTTTGTATAATACATGTGTATATTTTCAAATGCTCTAATTACTCGCCTATTTTCTCAGAAGGCTAAAACATTTATTTCAAATAAATGGTTCATTTGTTGCTCAATTTTTTAAAGTAGGTGTCCCACATCTGGAATGAAAGGACTTAACAGGTTAACTGCTCTATTCTTGCAGAAAATCCCCCAATTTAGATATTGCTACCTATCACCTGTTTACTAAATCAGAACTTGTTCTACAAGATGACTGAACTTCACCTTGTAGTGTGTCTTCTAAAAGAGTAAACCTTAACCCCCGGTTTAAAAGAAAAGCCATACTCACACACAGATTCTTCCAGTAACAAAAGATTAGCCACATCCCCATAGCTAATGATTTAAATGATTTGCAACCCTTTTATAAAACCAGAAAATGAACCTCCACACACGGCCCAACTCAACTGCCCACAGAGCAAGCATACTCATTCAAAGTCAAATACAACGGCAGAATCTGGTCTTCCTTTAAATTATGTATTGGTAACAGGTGGTGGTTGGGAGGGGCAAGACCACGATGCTGGTCATAGACCAGATAAATGAATGGATGAAGGATTAAGAACCACCACCATCAGTATTATCAGAAGCTAAGTACGTCAGAACAACATCTATTGGCCTTTGACCCAGAAAGGAGGGTAGAGCCAGAGGCACAGTTGATAGTGAAGTGCCGGATACACCAGCAGAAACCCCAAAGCAAATCCTGCCCCAGCACAAGGCACTGGGCTCTGGGTCTCCAGTGGACCAATTACTGGCATTTTCCTGCAAGAGGACAAAACACGTTGTCATCCTCCCCTGGTCAACAGCTGAGAAGGGGCTGAAAGGCAAAATTACAAGGTCCTACCCAGCTGCCCAGGGAGGCCTGGAAAAACTTCCCCAGGTCCTGGAAAAGGCACAGCCAGTGGGGCGCTTCTGAGAGTGGCCACCCCGGCTGCAGGGTGTGGCCGCTAACACCCAACTACCTTTAGAAATCAAAGCGCTCCTCCCAACCCTGAACAAAGCTCTCCAAAACCCTGGACCACCGGCCACCTCCCGCGCTGTCGCTCAGCGCCCGACAGGTGTGCGAACCGGCCCGCGGCTGACTCACCCAGATCCAGGGCCTGGTCGCACCTGAGCAGAGCGGCCTCGGGCTGCTGCTGGCGCTGCAGGGTCCGCGCCTGGCTCGCCAGCTTGCGCAGCAGGCACTCGGAGGGGAAGCACTTCTCCAGCACGCAGCTCAGCACCACGTTGACGCGCCGCGCCTGCGGCCGCGCGGGCCCACACTCCACGCAGCGCTTGCAGACCGTGAGCCCGCACGGCAGGGTCACCGGCTTGTGCAGCAGCCTTCGGCAGCGCGGGCAGCCGAGCAGGTCGCGGGGCGCGATGGGCGCCGTGGACTGCTGTCCCTCGCCTTGCGCCTC